AGTAGTAGCAACAGTATATATATAATAAAATAAATTAAAATAAACTAATACAGAGCAAAAGACTTAAATAAAATATAAAATAACAATCTAAATAAAATAAGTAAAATTCAAATCCTACCACCAGGTAGCGATCCTGTCCGTAGACTGACACCGTGTTGACCGTGTAGAGCGGCAGGTGCTCCTTCTCGAGCGTCGCCTGGTACTGCAGGTTGCGGGCTAGGAACGCCTGCAGGAAGGCCGTCTTGCCACCGCCGCGCGGGCCGATCACGCTACACTGGAACACGCTCCGGGAAGTCTGCTTCTTCTCCCTGTCCAGCCTCCTCTCCCGCGTCACTAACGACACACGAGAAAACAAACAGGTCGTACGCGTCGGTGCCCCGCTTTTGAAGGAAATGGCTTCGTTTCGAACGAATATTTCGTAATTTTTTCGTAATATTTCGTATTTCGTTCGAAACGAATATTTCGAATGTTCGTTATCGTTATGGCTTCGTTTCGTTCGCTTCGTGCCTTGGTGCGCTCCAACTTGCCAACTTGCCAGACTCCTAATTCACCTTCCGAGGTCCACAGGGTGCGAAATTAACGGGAGTCCGGAGTCAAATACTTCCTGATTTGCTGTCGGACTCCCTGATTTGACATATGCAGGAGTCCCGTGTGACTCCCTGAAAATTCTGCCACACTAACTAGTTCGTTCCGGAGCACGGCCTCGCGGAATTACCGTATTTTTTCAGCTAATGTCCAGAGAAAATTTGGCAGACGTACAACCGCATGAATTTAAAAAATAAGCACATGCATTATTGTTAATATATCTTTAATTTTGAACCTCATTTTACTGCGGACTCCCTCTTTTTGAGGGTAGGGAGTCCGTTTGACTCCCTTGTAACGAACTCCCGTGTTCAAAAGTTAATTTCTACCCCTGGGTCCACGTTACCTCGGAAGACTCATGTATAGTCTGGCATGTTGGTTGGACATGCGCCAGTTTAGTTTTGAGATGAATGCGATGCGATTGGTTCACGGTTTGGTCTCATCTTCCGCCGAAAAACTCTAAACGACGTCGGTGTCAATAAAACTTGCATGGCTGCCTTAACCATTTTAACTTCGTGCCCTCTCCTTTAAATTCTACAGTGCATACGAATTTTTTACCATCTTACATTAAAAGGGTTGGAAAAAACCAAGATGTAAGCCTCGGTGTCCCTTTTTTTAAGGAAACATTTGCCCTTGTGCGGCCAGCTTGCTATGCAACCCTAACGTTTCTGATCGAACGCAAAGCGACACCAGCCCCGCCCCAACGAAAACGACCAAATTCGAACCGCGGATGACGCCAGGCGACGCGACGCTGGCACGTCGGCGTGACAACACACCGTTCCGTTTGCGAAGTCGTCTGCAAAGGCGTTAGAACTTACCGTGTATTGCCGACAGCTGACTGTCTTCCCCTTGTACGTAGCCGAGGTAGGCGAAGTATTCCAACGTCCGCGGCATGTCAAGCAACGTCGTTAACCTGCGTTAATTAAACTCCCAATTAGACGTTAAATGTGCGGCAGCGTCGAATTTCGACGCGAATCTAAAACGCGTACAGGAGCAAACTTTTACTAGTAACTACGCTAAACTAAACTAAACCAATTTTACCCAAATTAAACTAAAGTAAACTAATCTAAAGAAAAGGCAATCTAAACTAAACTAAACTAAACCAGATCTGGTATTAATAATGCTCTCTCCTATTCCTCTCTTCTTTTGAACAATAGATGGAGATGGACCGCTGCATCACATAACAGATGGACGTACAACAGCAGCATTTCGCGACCAGCGGGGAACCCTCCTCCCCCTCCCTCTCTCCTCCCTTCCTTTCCTCCTCCCTCCCTCCTCCTTCCTTCCTTTCCTCCTCCCTTCCTCCT